GCTCAAAGATACTTATCTCGTTTAGCACTTCAGGTACCTGGTAACTTCCATTTATCAACGCATTCCGCTTTGCAGCAACCTGAAAATCCCGATATGAGGCATATTATCCATTCTATACACTTTGGGGATGAAATTCCAGCAAGTTTCCATTTCGAATCACACAAGCTCAGCTATCACAAAAAATAATTGTTTCCAATTCCAGAACCCGAATGTGAAAGGTAGTTTTAATGCTCTCAAGGGAAAATCTACCCTCTCCTCAGAACCACGTTACACACACGAATACATTTTGAACGTATGTCAGCTATTTTTAAGCAAATTTTGCTTTCGAGTGTTGGAATTGAATATTTTGCCACAGAAGGGCTCGCTTTGCAGATTGTGCCGTCGATCTATGAAGACATGAATGGACAAGTATGGAATAGCTATCAGTACACGTATGGACATAGTGTGCGTTAGATTTTTTTCTAATTTTTCCTTTCATACTCGATTTTCTTTGTTTATATGAAGCACACTGAGGATTAAACTCTCATGAGACTAACAAACTCCAATGTGCTTTAATTTCTTTTAAAATAATTCAAGTACAGATACATTTACTTTCAGAACTACCTCGTTTACCATCACACTGGTCAGATCATACCGGCTGTATGGTTCAAATACTCAGTACAACCTATCACCGTCAAACATAAAGAATGGCGTTTATCCTTCTACTATTTTCTCACATCAGTCAGTTTTCTTTCCCTCCAGAATAAAACCAGCAAATCGTTTCAGTTTACTCTCAAAGCATATTTGATAATGTCACACTTATTCTTTTCTGCACACATCTCTTGAATTTTAAGGAACTCAGATCTTGATAGTTGAGTTTAATTGATTGATTTCCCTTTCAGATCTGTGCCGTTGTGGGTGGCACGTTCACCGTGGCAGGGATCATTGACTCAACGTTTTTCACGATAACAGACATCGTTCGAAAGCATCGAATTGGAAAGCTATCATGATTAGAGCACGTCAAACGCTGCAATTGTTAAATTACGCATTTTTTTGTTAGTTGTTTCTAATTATTTATTTTATGGAAAATATGGGTATTAAGATCAGTAAATGTGGTTATTTCCTTAAATTCTTTTCGGAGATGTTGAATTCGATATCTCCCGCACTTTCATTGAATGCTCCCCTTTTTTTCTCTCTACAAAAAAGGAAAACAGTGGAAAACTGTCAGTGTGGATAAACTATTGTTCACATTTCACTACCAGTTACAGTTACGATGTTCTTTTAATTGGATTTCGCTATGAGTGTAATGTATCATGTATCAAAACATGTTTTGGGATTATTGAAGAGTAGATATTCGTGATCTCAACGTGAGGGCAACAGTCTAGTGAGACAGGATTTTTGGAAGTGCTGCTACTGTTTGTTTCAGTGTTATAAAAAAAGATAGCGTACGTTGCCAGAAGCATACAGGGATTTTGCTGGACAAAAACCTCATCCTTTTTCAATTCTAACACCTGCGGAGCTCTTACAAGGGAAGGATACTTAGTGGCCGTGGCCGTTCAGAATGAGATGTATATCAGAAGGATCTTAGGACACAAGTCTCAAATATTCCTTCCTTATCTGCTAAACGATTTTTATAAGGAAGTTATGGACCGGCAAAGTTCAACACGGCAGTTTGTAAGAACTTCGATTATGGTGTAGTCGAAGGAGCGTGTGGTATAGTGGTAAGTGTGCTGCCCTTGTTAGATTTTTACAATTGCTGCTTTCTCCAATGCAAATCTTCCACCAAGCAACATGGTCATCTGTGTAAAAATAAAAAGTATAAAAAGCGGTACTTCTACACCTTTCTATAGAAAAAAGCTGAAACAAGCCAAAATGCTGTTTATTGCTTACCGATGAAATTATCTTTGAAACTTGGGGAAGAGGAATTAATGATAAAGTGGAGTTTGAATGGAACTCTTTTGATCGTTAGGCAGATAAAAAGTTCGCGAGAAGTTCTTTCGGATCAGGTTCCTTTTTGAAAATTCTTAGCAGAATAATAGGGAGAGAGATGAAGCGACGAGAATCGCTCGGCACGATGGAACCTTGCGACTGTAGAAGACATTTCTAATTCTCTCTACTCATAAAATTAAATGTAATGCTGTTTATGTCTTATGCTATAGCAAGATCACCACCCTCTCTGCTCGGGACTTTTAGAATTTGGGACAAGTCTTACAAGGTGACAATTACTCACAAAGACCCCTTGACCTATGCCTAACAGCAACCGCAAGGTACAAAATCATGAAAGTTGGAGAACGTCTTTGCAAAAACGCGTTCTCCTAGAAATCTTGTAAAGCGAGCTATATACCGTGGGAATATTGTTCAAAGGAATTTCTAACCTTCGACGAAGTACAATGTAAGGCGGAAATTCTGGTTGAAACCAAACAGTTAGGGAATGCAAAAGGCGTAGACAAAAAAAGCTTTGACCACATAAGCCACCCAGCAAAAAAAAGGCTCAGTCCAATGTAAGTTCAGTGCAAAGACGTTTGCAGACCCCTACACCCGTAAGCAATCGTTGAA